AATTTAAGCTCAATTATGCGCTCACCTGGATAAATCAGTCAAGTAACTTCTTAAGTAACCACTTTTTTGGTCCCGTTTCATGTATATAACGCTGGGCTGATTCAGCTTACGGGAAAAGCATTCATATACACAGAAATCCTTGCCCACGTTGTCCCATTCCCGTACAGCTAGCCGCCATCTTTGCTTCATGCCCACAAAAGACTGGACACCACTCATTGTAGAGAAAGGCTCGCAATGTGTACTCGCACTTGTAAACTGCCGAAGTTCCACCTCGAAGACCGACATCAACTGAAAAAGTTTATCTGATAGTCTCAGCTGTATTGAATTGAGCACGTTAACTGAATATAAATTTCTCTAATGTAGTTTCTTTTATTGCTGATAGCTGTACGCTAAGATCGTCTTTAAAATAACGAAAGCTTGTACAAACGTATGGTCTTCAATGCGGCTTATCTGGAAAACGAGCACCGTGACCCCAATTTTTGCTTTGCTTTCAGAAGTTGATCTTTACCTTACTAATGGTAAGTTTTAAAGAAATCTGCACGTGAGGACTTTGGGCGCAATCGTCCTCAAGCAATATTTCATTGCATAAATTTATAGTTAAACATTTTAAAATAGGGAAAAAAATGTAAAATTACTGACAACATATTGTAACGCGCGCGAGCGACGACAACAACTTCCAGTCAAAGAGTCCAACAGCCAACGGTTTAATTACTCGACTCTTAACGTTCAGCTTACTTGTACACGGCAAGTCTACTAACACATACTAGGCTGATTTAGCAAGAGAACGGGAACGTCACTTGACGACGGCGCGCGCAGTATAAATACCCAAATATGGTCAGATGACGACTGCATGGCGCGCGGAATAACCTGGATTCTGTTCTAATTTGACCATATTTGGGTATTTGTACTGCTTGCACCGTCGTCAAGTGACGTTCCCGTTCTCTTGCTAAATCAGCCTACTGGCTACTACATAACGTAAGTCTCCTATATATCCTGCATCACGAGTACATTGCGCATTCCGTACTCGCCACATAACCGTCTCTTGGTCTTCGAACTTGTGCGAGGATACATTCAAATACAACCGTTATACATCTTAGCACGCGCACCTCAGCTCGTGCAATCACTATATCAATTTCATTACAATATATATGGGTTATTGGCCAAGTGTGAGGTTAAGATGGCTGGATATTGGCCAAGTTCTTTTTTTTTTGCGAGTTTATGGACCGAGACGGAGTCGAG